CAGCTCACTGCAAGCTCCGCCTCCCAGGTTCATGCCATTCTCCTGCCTCAGCCTTCCGAGTAGCTGGGACTACAGGCGCCCACTACCGCACTCGGCTAATTTTTTTTTTTTTTTTGTATTTTTAGTAGAGACGGGGTTTCACCGTGGTCTCTATCTTCTGACCTCGTGATCCACCCGCCTCAGCCTCCCAAAGTGCTGGGATTACAGGCGTGAGCCACCGCGCCCGGCCGCATTTAGAATCTTATGTAACAATTTGACATTGCTGAGACATCCAAGTGTGTGAGTTTGTGTTTTAAATATTCATCTACAACCACTTGGGAAAAGCAAAAGACAAAGAACCAGGCCTTCACCATATGTTGTCTGAAAAGCGTTATTCTACCACATTCCTGTCACTTTTTTTTTTTTTTTGAGACGGAGTCTCGCTCTGTCGCTCAGGCTGGAGTGCAGTGGCGCAATCTCGACTCACTGCAAGCTCTGCTTTCTAGGTTCATGCCATTCTCCTGCCTCAGCCTCCTGAGTAGCTGGGACTACAGGCACCCGCCACTATGCCTGGCTAATTTTTTGTATTTTTGGTAGAGACGGGTTTAACCGTTTTAGCCAGGATGGTCTTGATCTTCTGACCTTGTGATCCGCCCGCCTCGGGCTCCCAAAGTGTCTTGTCACTTTTTCTGTCCCTCTTGATAGTAGGCCTGTTGTTCGTTCACTTGATTCCACTGCCATTGATGTAGTATAGACTTTCACACTATTTCTTGTGGCCTAATTGCAGTTGTGTCAACCTAGGCTCTGTATTTTTTCTCTTTCTCCAGTCTATCCATTCAAATCTAGAGAAAACAGACTTTTTAGAGCAGTACTCTGATTATCATGGTTTGCTTAAAAACTTTAAATTGTGCTTTATTATCTGGTCAAAATGGTCTAGATTCCTTAGGGTGGTATTTAAGACCCTAGATTTCTCACTTTCTTTCCCTCATCTCCTTTTCTGCCTATTTCCCCTCCCAACCCCCTGTGTCTCAGTTCAAACATGCTTTTTTTTTTCCCCACCCCATCTTCCCCCAACAGTTACAGTTCCAACTTCCTTTCCTTGTGTGTTTTCTTCTTGTTGTTTACAGCAGTTATCACATCCTGACACTTTATTTCTTTATTTTATGATTCCCCACTCCATGCACACTACAGTGTAAGTTTCATGTGGATGGAACCTTGCTTTGTTTCCTGCACTGCTGAATCTTTCATGTAGATGGAAACTTGTTTCATTGCCTGCACTGCTGAATCTCCAGTAGGTGCACAGTAAGTTTTTCTTTCATGAATTAGTCAGTGAAAGGGTCACCACCTTAAAGATAAAGAACTTTGAGGTGAATGGCCATGAAGATCCAAAAGAATGGCTCTTTAATGGTGAAATTTTATAAGCAAGCAATGAAGGAGACCTAATTGGAGCAGAGACTCTTTGTAGCCTCCCTCAAATCACATTGTCTTTTTACGAGTTGTAAGTTTCATGAATATGAGCATTTGGTATATTGTAGTCTGTTTCTTCAGTGCCCAGTATTGGGCCTGAAAAAAGAGAATGTACATAGCAATAATTTTTTGTCTGAACGAATTAATTAGTTCAGTAAGTGTTCCTACCAAGCTCCCAGCTGTGGCTTCTACTCCTGGTAACTCTGTATCACATTTCTCTCCAGTTCTGGGGGCAGAGGTTTGTCCTCAGATCTCAAAAGGATATAAGAAGAGTTGATAATCTTCATTTTATTCAGCCTTTTTCTTGTTGTGAGGACAGGAGCAATGACTTCAAAATTTTTTATGTGTTAGATTGGAAACTGGAAGTCAGCTGTAAGTTTTTATAGAAGCTTTTTACTAAATGGAGGTAATTCCCCACTGTTTCTAAATTGGTGATGGTTTTTTAACATGAATGCATTTTGAATTTGTTAAAAGTTTTCCTTGTATGAATCATCAAATGACCTTACTTCCTTAGACTGTTGATATGGTAAATAACATTGATTGATTTTCAAATAGTAAACCCGCCTTGCATATCAAGAATTAATCCTAATCGTACTTGGTCATGATGTATAATCCCTTTTATATTGTTGAATTCAGTTTTCTAATATTTTGTTGAGAATTTTTGTGTCTGAGTTCCTGATACAGAAATCTCATGAGAGACATTGATTTATAGTTTTCTTTTTTGTACTGTCTTTGATTTTAATATCAAGGTAATACCTCATAAAATGAGTTTGAAATTGTTTCCTCCTCTATTTTTTGGCAGACATTGCATAAAATCGGTGTTAATTCATTTCTAAGCATTTGGTAAAAGTCTGCAGTGAAGCCATCTGGGCCTAGAATTTCTTTTTTGAAAAACTTTTTAGTTACAAATATTTATTTAATGGTTATAGTACTATTCAGGTTTTCTGTTTCATCTTGATTGAGTTTTGGTAGTTTGGCTTTGGAATAATTAGGTTATATCTTCTAAGTTTTTGAATTTATGATTTATAATTACAAAGATTTTTGTAGTATGTCCATTTTCTCTTTTTAAACACCGTAGGATCTGTATTCCTTTTTTTCATTGCTAATATTTGAAATATGTGTCTTCTCCCTTTTTTATCTTTGTAAATCATGGCAGAGGGCTATAAGCATTGATTTTTTCCCCCAAAAAACCATCTTATATTTACATTAACTATTCTCTTTCTTCCTTGTTTTCATTTTTATTGATTTATACTCATTTTTATTAACTTCCTTTTGCTTGCTTGGACTTATTTTTATCTTTTTCTATTTTCTTGAGATGGACTTAGATTGCTGATTTGAGATCCTACCTCTTTTGTAATGTAAAAATTTAGTGTTATAAACTTCCCTCTTAGCACTGGCTTAGCTATATCCCATAAGTTTTTTTATTATAAAATATGCATAACATGTAATTTATCATTTTAGCCATTTTTACTTGTAGAGTTCAGTGGCATTAAGCACATTGACATTGCTGTGCAATGATTACTATTATTAATCTCCAGAACGTTTTCATCGTCTGAGACTAAAACTCTGTACCTGTTGAACAATAAGTCCTCGTTCCCCTCTCTCCTCAGCACCTACTAACCACCGTTCTGCTTTCTGTCTCTGTGAATTTGACTATTCCAGGTACCTCATATAAGAGGGATCATAAAATTGTTCTTTTGTGTGTGGCTTATTTCACTTGGTATATAATGTTTTCCAGGTTTATCCATGTTTAGCACCCATCAGAAATGTATTCCAGTCTGTAGAGTACTCCATTATATATATATATACCACATTTTGGTTATTCATTCGTTAATAGACAGTTGGGTTGTTTCCACATTTTGACTATTGTGAATAATGCTGCTATGACCATTGGTGTACAAATACCTGTTTGTGTCCTTGTTTTCAGTTCTTTTGGATATATACCTTGAAGTTGAATTGCTGACTTGTATGGTAATTTTATGTTTAATTTTTTGAAGAACCACTGTGCAGTTTTTCACAGCAACTGTACCATTTTCCAACAGCAGTGCACAAAGGTTCCAATTTCTCCACATCCTTACTAGTACTTGTTATTTTCTATTTTTTGATAATAGCCATCCCAATGGGTATGAAGTGGTATCTTGTTGTGATTTGCATTTCCCTAGTGATTACTGATGTTGAGCATCTTTTCATGTGTTTATTGCCCACTTGTATATCGTTAGAGAAATATCTATTGAAGTCCATTGCCCTTTTAAAAATCGGCTTCTTTGAGGATTTTTGTGATGGTCTTGTTTTATGGTAGTTCTTTATATATTCTGGTTATCAATCCATTATGAGATATGTGATTTGCATATATTTTCTCCCACTGTATAGGTTGCCTTTTTACTCTTCATAGTATCCTCTGATGCACTAAAGTTTTTAATTTTGATAAAATCTAACATCGATTTTTCTTTTGTTGCCTGTGTTTATTATGTGTGGCTTAAAAATGTGTTACACACCCATTCTTCAGAGTTCTATAGTTTGTACTTTTCTGTATCTCCAACCTCTGCCTTAAAAAATAATAATAGAAAAACCTTGACAAGACCAATAAAAATGAAAAGGTTTTTTAAAACTCAGTAACACTGCAGGTAATTTAAATTGCCAATACAGACCTTTCAACCAGAATGGAAACAGAGAAATATACCTTATTTTCTGTCCTTTTAGAGTCCTAGTAAATTGAGAAGCAATTTTTACTTATAAATGTCAATTTATGCATTTATATAACATCAGAACACATGCATATTCGAAAGCATATATGAGATTTCATATTTGAAAGCTGGATGTAGTTCACAATCAACTTGAACACCTTCCAAGGGAGATTGGAAACAGTACACAGATAACCAACTTTGTTTGGCAACATAGTGAACTGCTAGACCTCCTAGATACTATAGGTGTGAGAGGAGAAAGAAGATACTGATAGCTATTAATAGCTAACTGGATATTAAGAAGACTATCTTGATCCATTTTGGTAATGAAAATTCAAGATTAAAATTCACAATTACCAAAGTTGTAAAACTTTTAAGATAATTATTTTAAAATTACTTTTCCATTTACATTTATTTCCATATCTTGAGGTAGATTATGACCCTCAAACTGAACTCAAGGTGTATCTGATATTATTTATGCTGAATTTGGTTAACAAAATCAGTACTTCAAATTTTGGAATATATGTAAACATTTGTGACTGAATTGGTTACTTAAAGAGGTTGGAAAAGTAATCATTCACAAACAACATTTTATCAGATGTCATCTTGAAGTAATGGTTTCAGATTTGTGGTTGACTTAGTTTTTGAGAAAGAAAATGCAATTGTGATACAGAAAAAAGAAATTTTCATTTTCTTGCAATGCAAGTATGTTCACTAAATGATTTAAAATTTTAAAATAAAAGTTGCCTCTATAATGTGGTTTTGTTTCCAGTTGTTTTCAGAAATTATAAAATTTATTTTCTTGCTTACAAGTATTATCTGAGTATGTTTTTTAATAATGCTTATTGAATTTTTATGTTGGTCAATTTACAGGTGAATTATGTAACCTCATTACGCTGGATGTAGCTCACAATCAACTTGAACACCTTCCAAAGGAGATTGGAAACTGTACACAGATAACCAACCTTGACTTGCAGCACAATGAACTGCTAGATCTCCCAGATACTATAGGTATGAGAGGAGAAAGAAGATATTGATAGCTGTTAATAGCTAACTGGATATTAACAGGACTATTTTTGGTCCATTTGGTAATGAAAATTCAGGATTAAAATTCACAATTACCAAAGTTGTAAAACTTTTATGATAATATTTTAAAATCACTTTTCATTTCCTTTTCTTGACAAAGAAAATAGGTTTTAGGACATGAGCCCGATGGGATTATAAAAGAGAGAGAATATTGAGTTACTTGTATATATATTCTGTCATAGTTTAAATTGCAAAATGGGTGGCTTTTTCTATTTCTGCTTGTTTCTGAGTTGCATGTTGTTATACTGGGTATGGTCCTTTCTTTGCTAAAGTATTCCATATTGAAAAATAAAACCATTGTTGTTTAGTTTTTTAAACCCGGCCAGTATACTTTAAAGTTTGTTTATTTGTAATACTAAAGGGATAAGCGAGGAGATGACTTGAAGTTCAAAATATGTTTTAGAGACTTAGCCAAATTGCAAAAAAATTGAATTGAGCTGTGATATGTTCTGTGTTTATGTAGTCTTGTTTATTTTTCTGATTGCCCATAAATTCATACCAGTAAAGGGAATTTTAAAAATTCTGATGCTTTTTTAGTTATTAATGTGGTATAAGGATACTATAATGTTTATTTAGAAAAATTACATCGCTACTTAATTTACATAATTTCAGTCATGAATATTTAGTATTTTACTTTTTTCATTTTTATTTTTTTTGAGACAAGTTTCACTCTGCCGCTCAGGCTGGAGTGCAGTGGTGCGATCTTGGCTCACTGCAGCCTCCGCCTCCTGGGTTTAAGCGATTCTCCTGCCTCAGCCTCCTGAGTAGCTGGGACTACAGGCACCCACCACTACACCTGGCTAATTTTTTTCTATTTTTAATTGAGATGAGGTTTCACTATGTTGGCCAGGCTGGTCTTGAACTCCTGACCTCAGGTGATCTGCCCACTTCTGCCTCCCCAAGTGCTGGGATTACAGGCCTTAGCCACCACGCTTGGTCCAGTCATGAATATTTCAGAGGCGTGATTACTAAATCATTTGAGGCCTGTGATGATGTTACCTTTCTCCAGAAGAGTTTTTGTCTGCCTCTGTTGGGTACCTAGTAGAGAGGGGATCACTTTAATCCATTTGTGTTCAAGGCTTGAGATTTTTTTGGTCCCCCAAGTGATTAAAAGGTTTTCTGCAGGCTAACTGGATGGCTGTTTTATTTCCAGTTCACCCTTACTGGTAGGGTGCAGCTCTAGAGGGTCCCACTTGAGGTTGATGACTAAGAGTCCTCACCCTTGGCAGACCCTAGATTTTGACTCTTGCTGGAAAAATGACTTAGCCTTTTAGCTGCGTCTTCCAGTTAGGGATGTGCTCTTAGGACGGAATTATCTCCATTGTTTTGCTTGTATCTGGGTTCCCAGCTTGTTTCTGGTCTGGCGCTTAGTCATTATGTTGTTAACTCTCTGATTTTGGTTTTGGAAGATGTTTTTATTTATTTATTTTTTTATTGGGAGAATTTATTTGAATTACCTACCATTACTCAAAACAAAGCAGTTTTAGGGAATTTCTTAGCAGGGTTGCGTAGACTGTCTTAGGTTATACAGGACAATTATTTACAGAAAAGCAAGCTGAAACATGGATGTAATAAGTAGCCATTAGAATCTATGTTTCCCTGATTTTTGGCCCATGACACTATCATATTACTATTTGTAGTGGAAAGAGATTATGTATTCTAGTTAACTGGTTTATGGTTTAGATGTCCCTCTGAAAGGCAAGATTGTCTGCAACACATACTGAATTATTCTATTAATATCCAAAATTAATATTCTACCGAATGTCCTGTATAAATAAGAGAGTCAGATTTCTGGTTCAAGATAATAAGGACCAAGCACAATTATTTCATGCTTTTTTTTCTCTTTAAAATCTATTAAAATGGCCAAGATGAACAAGGAGAAGTGATCCTAGGAGAAAAAGAACATAGAAAGGATATTTAAACTGCATGTTTAAAATATGATCAGGCTGATACAAAAAGGAAACAAAGAATAAAATACAACTCTTAGAGATATGTTTGCCAAATCAAATTTAATGGAAAATTCCATATAACCAAATGAACACAGCCAGAGACTGGTCTCTAGGATAAACTGAAAGTCCCCTAGAATCTAGATCAAAAAGAAATGTGTAGAAAAGAAGTGAAAAAGTTACAAAGTCATGGCAGATAGGACTAGACGTTCTAGAAGGCCAAATAGTGCTGATACAGTTATAAAATCTAATTTTATAATGTTTCCCTGAACTTGATAAAAACCCAGATAATAAGACCAAAATTGCTTACCAAGAAGAAATAAATTAAGAAGTTACATTCTGGTAGAAGTTCTAAATATTAGATGTATTTGTTTTGAATAAACAATAAATTCACATGTAATATTATACAACCTATCTTTACCTAGTTTTTGGTTTCAGGGTAATGCTGGCTACATATGTTCAATTTTTGGAATAGTTGGTATGAAATTGCATTATTTCTTCCTTTAATATTTGATAAAATTCACCAGTGAAGCCATCCAGGACAGGACTTTTCTTTATAGGAATTTTTTTTAAAGCAATTTCAATTACTTTAATAGGTATAGGGCTATTCAGGTTATTACTTTCTTCTTCAGCAAACTTGGTCATATGGGTCTTTCAAGGAATATATTTATTTTATTTTAGTTATCACATTTAAAAGCTTTAAGTTGTTCAGTTATTACTTTCTTCTTCAGCAAACTTGGTCATAATGGGTCTTTCAAGAAATATATTTATTTTATTTCAGTTATCACATTTAAAAGCTTTAAGTTGTTCATAACATTCTTAATGTTATTTTAATATCTGTAGAATCTGTAGTAATGCCACCTCTCTAATTCCTGATATCAGGAACTTGTGCTTTTTCTTAATCATTCTGGCTAGAAGTATATCAATGTTATTGATCCTCTCTTAGTTTTATTGATTTTCCCTATTGTTTCTCTGGTTTTTATTTCATTGATTTCCATTTTGAACTTTATTATTTCTTTTCACCAGCTTACTTTGAGTTTTATTTGTTCTTTCTCTAGTTTCTTATGGTGGCAGCTTGACGTCATTAATTTGAGACCTTTCTATTATTCTCATAAAGACAGTTAGCACTATAAATTTCCCCTTCAGTACTGCTTCAGCAGCTTCCCACAAATTCTGATATATTGTATTTTCCTTTTAGAAGTATTTTCTAATTTACCTTTTTGTTTCTTCTGTGATCTATGGCTTATTTATTAGGTTGGTAAAAAAGTAATCGCAGTTTTTGCTATTATTTTTAAAGGCAAAAACCTTAGACTTTGACTTCTAGTTTACCTCCATTGTGGTCAAAAACATTCCTGATAGGACTTGAATTCTTTCATCATAGTAAAAGTATTCCATGTGCAGTTTAATATGTATTCTACTTTTGTTGGGTGGAGTGATCCATAAATATCAATTATGGTACAGATGAGGCAATCAATGAGTTTATTCTACTTTCTGCCCTTTCTGGAGGGGTCTCTTTTTCTTCTTAATTTTGTTAATTGCATTGTCAGCATAGGTAACACATATCTTGTTATACTAATTCCCATTTTTGTTTTAGTCTTAATGTTCATCAGCAGTCCTGTTGCCATAGTTGCCTCAGTCATTTCTTGGTTGGCTGAAGTCAATCTGGTTGGTAGTCATTTTCTCAAAAATGGTTCATGGGAACAGTATTCTCCTATAGTTCTTGTATGTGTGTAGCTTTTATAATTCAGGAACAGTTTAGATGGATATAAATAATTGGGTCAAACTTCCTTTCCTTGAGGATCTCAGTAGAACTAACAGATAGTTCTACCTTCTTCTGGAATTGAATGTACAAAGATGAGGCCAGTCCATTTTTTTTTCCCCCTGTGATAAGTGACTTAGTCATTTTGCTTGGCCAGCCAAAGTATTATTTCTAGATTTCTGAAATATAAGAACTATATTTTATTTCTCACTGTTTATTTTTCAGGATCACATTTTCCTAGTATACTCTGGGCCAATTCAACATATAGGTTTAAGTTTTATTTCAGTACAGAGTTCTTCAGTATATTCAGTATATATTCAGTGTATATTATGCTTTCTCTGTTGGCCATATATATTCAGCGTATATTCAGTATAGTGTTCAGTATAGTAAATAGGTCACACAGTGACATATTTAGTTTGTGTTGTATGTTTTTACATTGAAATATGTATCTGTAAGTTTGGTTAGTATGAACAACCAACTAATTAGAATGGTAAAGAAGAAAAGAAGGAATAATGTATAATCTCATCATAATCACTTTCAGTGAAACATCACCTAAAAGCACTTTCAAAAAATGACTTTTTATAAAATCCAAATTCTTAGTCTTAGAAAAACAAAATGTTGCTTTACTCTACTGCAAATCAGACAGGAGAACTAAAATTTAAGATACTTGAAATGTTATAAAGTGATTTTCTTATCCTTCTCATTGATGTTTAGTCACTGTGTATATCTTAGGATATTACACATGCTAGACATTTTATTGTTTCTTGAACATATCAGGTAAATTCTAGCCTTGAGATCTTTGTACTTCCCATCTCTCTGTTTAGAACTCTTTTCTCTTAAATATCTGTATAACTTTGCCTACTCCTTCAACTGATCAGATAGATATATAAAGCATGATTTTCATTCGACCTTCTTCTCTGTCTCAAATAGTCTAACAATATTTTATTATTTAATATTTTTATATGTGTCTGTATCTCAGTCTTGTTAAATAATAGTCAAAGGTGCATGCGATTAAAGTACTGAAATGAATAATCCTGGCAAACAGAGAAAGCATAGGTGGTGATATATGATACAGTCTTCTAGTAAGTAGGATTAGTGTCCTATTAGAGGTGATTCTTCTGTGTTTTAAGTGTGTTTACTAATATGAAAACATTTGATTTTAGTATTAATCTCTTGTAGTTTAGATGTTATCTCAGAATAACACATATGCCTCACCTCTA